TGAATTTAGTAAGATTTATTTGTAGGCATCTCTTACTTGTTTGTGCTTCATTTATTGTAAAATATAGGAGTTTATATTCTATAAAACCTTACATAATGCTGTCCATATTTTTACTAGAGCTACCATCAGAAATCGCTGCATAAGACTACTTATTGTTTATTTTGTAAATTAAATTAAATTTATGAATATATTCACTGCTACCTTTGCTATTTCATCCCTTACATAATCTATCATCCCTTCTATGTTTTTACTAGAGTTGCCATCAGAAATTGCTACATAAGAAACTACATCCGTGTTCTGGGTAAGACGATAAACTACGTCCAACAGCAAGGCCTCTGATGGGGAGGTTTTGAGGAGCGTGGAACCAACTCTTAATTGCTGGTGTTCCCAGGTCCACCCTGACCACGGGGTTGTAGCACCTGTTATGGTCCCAGCCATGGGCAAATAGTTAACCCCCAAACTGGGGTCAAAAACTATGAAAGTGTAAAAATAGGTTTTAATATCAGAAATACTTTGTAAAATATTATTACCAGCAATATATTTTTAGAAAAAAATATTACCAGAAATATATTTTTTGAAAAAAATATTACTAGCAAAGGAAAATTATTACCATAATAGATTTTTGAAGGAAAAAATATTACCGGAAAAAGATTTTTGGAAAAAAATATTAGCAATAATGAAAATTTTGTTGGCATTAAATAACCCAGTGAGGTTGATATGCCGTGAGACAAAAAACAAACCAAGATACATAAGACTATTTATAGTTTATTTTGTAAATTAAATTAAATTTTTTAATATATTCACTGACACCATTGCTATCTGAATCTTTACATAATGCCCTTTATGTTTTTACTAGAGTTGCCATCAGAAATTACTACAGATGACAAGTTATGCTTTATTTAGTAAATTAAGTTGAAATTTTACTATAAATAATGAATCTGATGTGTGCTTTGACATCCTACATTTTAATATAAAGCTTTCATCAGCAATATATTAAGGGGAAAACAAATATTACTAGCAATACATTTTTTGAAAAAAATATTACCAGCAAAGGAAAATTATTACCATAATAGATTTTTGAAGAAATATTGCCAGAAAGAAATAGTTTTAATGACAGAAATGTACAACAGATATAGTTTTCAAATTTAATAAATGTTAATATGCATTTATTGATAGTTCCATATTTTGAAAAAATATAATCAATTTATAAAGATGTATTTTGCTTTCTCAGATTTGCAGATTTTCATGTAGATCTCATGAATTATCTCACATTTAGAATTAAGTCTCTCTCTATATATATATATGAAATTGCATTCATAAACTAAAATTAAAATCTGAAGCTTACAGTAATTCATTGTTTAATAAGTCAATGCAGTGTTTCAGTGTTCATACCACATTTTACATTTACAACCTCAATGCGAACTTAATAATTTAATTATTAAGAAGTTGAAATGAATTCTTCAGATATTTCACTCAGATTGATTTACATACAACAGGTACATATAGTTAGATAGGTGCACATGTCGAGGCATACAGAATGCTCAACCAACTAAATTATTTGAAATCTGTTTAAATATTTAATGGAGACAGTTGAGGGCTAGAGCGCATCAAATAACTCCAGACAGAAATCAAGAAAGAGATAAATATCAAAGCCGACGAGGGTCAACAGATCAAGGGTTCAATTACTTCAGGGGACCATTATGTCTAGCTTTAAAAGGAAAAAGAAAATTTTAAAAAAAAAGAATAAAAGAGGACATTTTGTATGCTCCTAACTCTCTTGGGAAAAAATTCATAAGAAAATGCAAAAAAATGTCAAAAAGTGGGTTTGACTGATGGCCTGATACCCAATGTTGAATAATTCATTTGCCAACTGCTTTAGTATTTCATATTCGATGCTTATCAGTTCAGCAGAAAAGTTATTTTTGTTTTCTTCAGTTATTTCCCTCTTCATTGAGTTAATAATCTTCTTGACACTTTGCATACATGTGTGGCAAAGGATAAAGGTAAGATTAGGTGTTTCCTTATAAGGAAACATTCTGCATTTATTATCCAAACATTTCACTTTACTGTTGCTTAATATTTATAAAATCTTTCTCTTAAAAACAATTTTTCATGAAAAAAGATTTTTAAGCTCATTGCTATCTCTCTTATTAGTATTAATGGGAGTTTCTATCAAAAACTTTTGCACTATCCATTTTAAATGTAACAGCTGCTGGAAGTCTTCAAGAGATGCAGTAGTTATTATCTGGTAAACTTCTTTTTTCATGATTATCATGAAACTGTCTATAAGGTCTGATGCCGTATTGTCTTTTTTTTTTTTTTTTTTTTCTTACTAATGATCATCCTATATAAGGCCCAGGAGCTACTCAAGCTAGAGGTTTACTGAAGGTGATTTTTATATGAGCAGTAGTAGTAAGTATTAAGTTATGAGGATATGTAGAAAAGTTAATGGTTAAATATGGACCTGAAGAGGTTAAGATTGTAATGGTCAGGAAAGCCTTCTCTAGAGAGTCAGTTCCACAAAGCAGCAGTTCGTGGGAAGAAATTATTTATACAAAACTTCCTTCCTACAAGTGGATTAGCCCAAGTGAAGTAACCTAAGGTGTTAGCCAGAGGAGTAGTCTAAGATATTAACACAAGGAGAAGCCCAAGATGTTAACAAGAGTAGTAGACCAAGATGTTAGCAATAAGATCAGTCCATGATGTTAGCACAAGGATGTTAGCAAGAGGAGTAGCCCAAGATGGCAACAAGTGGAGCAGCCCAAAATGTTAGCAAGTGGAGTAGCTCAAGATGTCTCATGAGGAGTGGTCCAAGATTTTTGCACAAGGAGAAGCCCAACATTATATCAAGTGGTGTAGTCCAAGATTTTAGAACAAGGAGAATCCCAAGATGTTAACAAAAGGAGTAGGCCAAGGTGTTAGCAAGAGTAGTAACCCAAGATGAGAGCTATGAATTGGCAATATCTAAATTGTGGAAGTACAGAAATTTAAATCTCTAGGAATTGTTCTAACAACTGACAGAAAATGTAACTCAGAAATTCATTCCAAAAACTAAACAAAATATTAAAAAACAGGAAAATTTATTTAGATGCAAAGACACGAATATTGAACTGCTGTGTATTATCACACCTCCTATAGTGCAGTGGATGCTAACTACTATCTATATTTCAGACAATATGGATCTACAGAAAGATGCTGAGAATACTATGTACAGGAAATAGGAGCAACAAGAAAAATTGTAGGACAATGGTATTTGGAATCAGAAAGGGAAAGTTAAATCTTTTGGAACTCATAATGAAGAAAGAGATCTTGGAGAATTTGATGATCACATAACATACTGAAAACAAGAGAATCCATGGGAAATTTTCTGTAAGCTTTTGTAATGGGATGACAGAAGAGAAACTGAATGGGATATATTTTTTAAAATAATTTTTAACCAATACAAGGCCAAAGATACTGTCAAGTTAGGGGGGCATTGGATGGTGTTGTTATATATGCATATAGAAGAGGAACTAAAAAGTGCTGTTCATGAGTTTATGTAAGAAAGATAATAGTTAACTCTAGACTTGATGAGGTTATGATTGTAGTGATCAGGAAAGCATCCTCTTGGGAGTTTGTACCACATGTAGTAAGCTTGAAAGAGAGGAACTTGTGGAGTGTCATTATTGTCCATCTCCTGAAGGACACATAAATTAGAAGTATATAACTGACCTGTTTCCAAATAATACATTATAATGGGCTGTTTTGTTTTTAATGTTCCCAAACAGAAAACTTAATATACTCCAGGTTAAGGTGTATTTCATCATAAAATTGATATTTTTCTAATACATGAGTTTTGAAAACTGAACCTTGATTATCTAAATATAGTCTATGTCAAATCTGTTAATAGAAAACAGTGTTCTTATTTTCTATCCAAAGGCTAATGTCGCATTCCATATTGTCACTGACTTCAGCTCCTCAGATGCCACTCCATAGATTGTATCAATAAAAGACAATTTATTTTTCTTATTCATTTTATGATAGGAGATGGACAGATCTGGTAGCATCAATTCTAAGAGACTGTGGAAGGAGAACTTCAAGGGAACAAATACCCACTCATGAGCTTAGTGTCCCTCCATGTGTAGACTTAGTATGCCTATAGGCTCTGGCTGTGGAAAGCCTATTGATGTTACAAAATTCCTACAGACCTTTGCTGATTTTGAATCATTTTCTCTTTCAATAAGTATAGTGTTAATCTTTCCAAAGTGCCCTTTCTTCATAATGTGTCTCAGAAATTTTAACTCTCTTTTTAAGTATGATGGTCTTTTTGGTTTCATTTTCCTTTAGAATTTCCTTGTTGCTCTCATGTTCTACCCACGGCACTCTCATCATCTGTTTGTAGAAGCCCATGTCCAATGCTTTGAGTTGATTAACTAGAGATTTCTCAAGCAAAGATGCCCTACAATTGCTAATAACATATAACTATCAATTGCATTATAAAATTGAAAATCCATTAATGAAATACAAATTCATCACTTAAAAGAAATCACTTCGGTTTTGAAAAATTTTGACTTACATTTAAGGCAACACTAGATTCACTGCACACAATGTTGCAATGAATTATTTTTAACTCTAGAACCTCTTTAGAAAAAAACATTGGAGACCTATTATTATCCCATAGCCTTTTCAACTGCATGAATATTCCTTAATTCCTGAACATGGAAACATATTACTTACATTACTTAGTAATTTATTACCATTTATTGTTGTGTCATAAATAAGAAAAGTTTACACACACATATATAGAAATAAGAAGTAGTTTATTCTGGAGAATAATATGTTACATAGTTGAGAACACAGGCTAATGTAATAAACAATTAATCATTAACTCCTCCTTCTCAGTAAGAGAGAATTCTGTTTAAATAGTCTTAGACCAGTCTATCTTGTGGGGGTGTTCAGCTACTCTATAACAGTTATGCAACAATCTGAAAACAGCTACTATGCACAAAGGGTAACAGAAAATGTATATACAAATCTCTCTCTCTCTCTCTCTCTCTTTCTATCTATCTATCTATCTATCTATCTATCTTAGTCTGATTCTATCTATCTATCTATCTATCTATCTATCTATCTATAGATTAGTTTTTCACTTCTCTCTGTCTCTGTATGTCTGTCTGTCTCTCTCTCTCTCTCTGTTTCATTCTTTTCACAATCTACCTACCTCTATCTTTGCAATCTTTCTTTCACTAAGATCTAAACATCTAAACTCCGCAACTCCTCAAACTTTATCTCTGCCGAAGATTTTCTCCCGTCTATTTATCCCTACACTCACTCTCTCATCATTCCAGCTCTATATCTTATTATATCCAGTCTCTCACTATCTCCCCGAAGCTATATTTAGCTCTCTATATCTTCTCAATCTATCCATTTCTAACTCTCGTATGTTTCTCTCTTTATCTTACTCTCTCTCTATCTCCTCAATCCATTTCTTCCCACTCTCTCCTCAATAACTTTTCATCCACCCACATTCCCAATATATCCTTTTTTTCTCTCCATTCTTCAACTACATCTAAAAATCTCTCTTTTTAGTCTCCTGATCTCTATCTTCTTCTCCATTCTATCTATCTATCTATCTATCTATCTATCTATCTATCTATCTATCTATCTATCTATCTATTTCCTCTTTTTTATCTTCTCAGTATATCTCTATTTTTTCAATCACTCTCTCTTGAAAATTACATTCTCCCTCTCTATTTCTCCAATCACACTCCATCTCACTACATTTTCTATCTAGTAAATTTCTCTCTCTTTATTACTACAATCATCTCCTCTATATTTCACAATCTCTCTGTCTTCCCAATTTCTCTACTTCCCCAATCTATCTATCTTGCAAAACTCTCCTTAGCCCCTCTCTCATTATCACCACAATCTCTCTCTCTATTTCCTCAATGACTCTCTCTTACCAATCTCTTTCATAATAGTGTAAAATATTTGAAGGGTAAAGACGAAAGTTCAATTGATTGAGCTTTATTTTTGAATAAGTAACTCTTCCAAAAAGCAAAGAAAAAATGGGCAATTTCTTCTTCTTGTTACTTGAACTCATAACTATTTTCGTGCATTTCTTGCTGCTTCTTGTACACAATGAGGCCATAAGGAGATGGGTGGCAAAGTATGAATTATTATCAAGAATGCTCTTCACTGGTTGTGGTCAAAGATGCTGTCGTTCATTTTTATCATATGCTGCATCTTGAATATTATCAAATGGATGTACTCTTTGTGCTCACCTAAAAATAAAGGTAAATTGTAATTTTCTTTCTTTTTGTGGCTTCTGACATTTTCAGAGAGGCGGTGTCAGACACTGAAATAGATGAGTGTTGTGTCGATAAAAAACAAAATGAGAAAAAGCAAATGGCTTGTAACTTTCTTTAGTTTGGAAGGTCACTCTGTGGAAAGAATCGAAGTGATGAGAAGAGTAAGGTTGAAGTTGGGATGGAGGGTAAAGGTGAAAGTAAGTGGGTTGAGAGAAGAGAAGGGCTGGTGTAATGGATGCTTAGAACAGGCAGACCACTGCGATGCAAAGAACTGTGTAAATGTGAAAAGCAATATAAAGGAATAAAAAAGGAGATACCATAAATAAATGACGATTGGGTAGGGAAAATAAGGGAGGGGATGAAAGTAGTACCATGTAAAACGAGAAAGGAAAAAGCTGGCCTTTATAAAAATCTGGAATATATTCATCGAAATTTGTATCATTATGAACACAACAATGCAAACAAGATGAAATTGGAAGGGGACTGCCAATATTAGTGACAATATCATGGGAATGCCAAAATTGAAAGGGGAATGCCATTATTAGTGGCAATATAAGATGAATTCCAAAATTGGAAGGGAACAGCCCATATCAGTGGCAATATAAAGGGAATGTCAAAAATTGGAAGGGGAATGCCAATATTAGTGGCAATATAAGGGGAATGCCAAAATTAGAATGGGAATGCCAAAATTGGAAGATAAATGCCAATATAAGTGGAAATATAAGAGGAATGCCAAAATTGGAAGAAGAATGCCAGTATAAGGGAAATGCCAAAATTGGAAGAGGAATGCCAATATAAGTGGAAATATAAGGGGAATACCAAAATTGGAAGATGAATGTCAATAAGTGGCAATATAAGGGGAATGCCAAAATTAGAATGGAAATGCTAAAATTGGAAGAGGAATGCCAATATAAGTGTAAATATAAGGGTAATGCCAAAATTAGAAGGGGAATGCCAAAATTGGAAGAAAAATGCCAATATAAGTGGAAATATAATGGAATGCCAAAATTGGAAATGGAATGCCAATATAAGTTGCAATATAAAGGGAATACCAAAATTAGAATGTGAATGCCAAAACTGGAAGGGGAACACCAATATTAGTGACAGTATAAGGGGTGCCAAAATTGGAATGCCAATATAAGTGGCCAAAAACATCAAACAAAATACAAATGTGTAAGGGTGTAATTAAACTAAAATCAAATTGGAAAAGAAGTCCTTTAATGGCTGATACCCATTTTCATCAGAAGACCCTACTGTTGAAATAATCTGAGGCATCAGTGCTTGCAGAGCTCAGGACTGGAAATTGAAAGAGACAGCTTCAGTCTAGATAAAGGAATAATGATTGGCTCCAGGAATTACCTGATTCTGCAGGCTAGCCTCTAACTTTATAAGAGCTAGCTCAGATCGCAAATGGAGTACTGTTGTCGTATTTGGGTGGAAGCTGCTCAGTTCTCACTCATCAGTCTTGATAGAGTCCAAAAGCATCTCCCAGTCCTTGTCAGTGACAAAATAATTTCCAAATTCCAACCTCTTTCTTACAGGTGAGATGTGGCAAGCCTCTTACTGCTTTATCACTACTTCCAACGAAAGTGTTTGGATGAATTAAATTCCTTGGTTCTTCCAGTTCTAAACTTAATAGCTAGGAACTGCCATGCCACTCATATTGTAGCAAATCACTCACATTCTCTCCAAGTTCTATTGGCAAGATCTAAGTTCCACTCAAACTACTTCTTCCCACGAACCACTGCTCTGTGGCACCAACTCCCAAGAGAATATCTTCCTGATCACTACAATCTTAAATTGTTCAAGTCTACAGTTAATCATTATCTTCATCTCCTATTCACCTAAAATGCCTGTTAAATTAACCCTCTATCTCAAGTAGCCCTTTGCTTTTGTACAGGGTGAACCAAACAGTGAAAAAAAAAAAAAAAGATGTTTAAGATCAAAAATTACTAACAAGATTCTACCAAGCACAAATTTTAATGAATCAGACAGATCCCAAATATCTCTTTGTACAAATACTGAAGAAAATATTCATCATCTAATTCCTGGATGTTGTAACAAACTTTAGTATGGATGTCATGTATGGCACCAAACCCATTTATAAATATCTATATTGTCAGCTGTATACAATCACTTTCTAAGATCAATGTTTAAAAATGGCTTTAAGCAAGTGAAGCCTATAGGTCATAGTGAAGATTGCACTTCTTTGAAACTTGTAGACTGGCACTACAGGATCCCAAACAAAGAACTGCAGAATTTCAGCAGAAGCTATGACTAAAATAGATAAAACATGTAACTAAAATAATAACATAATCAAGATGAAGACATGACTTCAAATAAAAGGAAAGGAAGAAAACTTCCATCAGTTAATGGCAATAGTGATAACAGTGACTGTACTTGAGAAACTTGTTTTTCTGAAAATATTTTTTAAGGAAAAGATGTCATAAATTTCAATTGAAAGTAGTACAAGTGTTGTAGCATACCTACGGAAGATAATAGCTATGCCCCCATTCCTATAAATACAGTAGTGAATAATGTACATGGTCTAGAGTGGGAGATTAATTGTGGAATTCACTTGACTCCCTTCTAGCAGTTGACTACTTTTATGCAGCCCTGGTAAATCTTCTATGTGTTGTTCTTGTCCTAAGTATTATCATTTATTACCAACCTTTGTTTGATGATTTTATTCAGTAACCTTCCTTAGGTTACAACAACAAGCTACTCAGTCCCTGAAAGCTGAATGTTTGCTTATAAGGAAATTGCAAATATTACCATTACTATCTGAGCCATGAATTTAAATATAAACAAGATAAGCTCAAGAAATAATTGGATTGTAGAATATGACAACATTTTGAAGCAACAGAAATATGGTTCTGTAGAGGATACCATCAGGCGAACATGTGAGCAGTGATAATGTTTTGGAGAGAAGGGAAACAAAAAGGAAACTTATACTTAACATCAGGAAGAGGCAGTTGGAATTTCTGGAACATGTAATGAGGAAAGAGGGCTTGGAAAATCCAATATTCACAGTACAGATAGAAGGAAAGAGGGACTGGGAAAAGTAACATGTGATATACTTAATTGGTTTGAGCAAGTGAATGGCAGAACAGAGTTTGGGAGAAATAAAAAAATGACAAAACTCATTAAGAGCTACATAGGACAAGAAGATGTGGAGAGCCATGATTGTCTACGGCATGAAGGGACACAGCACATAAAGGAGAAACAGAGGCTTATAAATGGTATGAATACAAACTATCAGCAGTGCTTGAAGGTGTAAATGTTACAGTCCTCTTCAGTTTCACCATTTATAACAACTGCACTATATAAGCCACATATGCATATATAATAAATGTGCATACTTATGCAGCATATCTTCATTCAAACATGTTTCATTGAATAATATAGATATATCTATTTAATTTTATAATAATCTTTTCTAGTTATCTTTGGTGCCTTCCTTGACAAATTTCATCTTAACATCAAAAAACTGATTAGAGAACTAGAAAGGATTATTATAAAAATAAACAGATATAATATGTCTATATTATTCAATGAAACCCGTTTGAGTATATAATAAAATATATAATAATAAAAAGATATAATAATATACGACTTTGAAAAACATGATTGATATCTCATAAAACATGGCCATTCTGCCTGCTAAAATCATCTTTGAATAATAATTTGTCAAACTTTCAAAATATATGGACCTGGGAATTGACATTGTAAGAATAAGATATTTAGACACAATGGTGATTCCAGTAGTAATAGGAGCACTAGGAATGATTAAGAAAATTACTGAAATATACACTAAGAAAATAAGTGGAATTTTCTTACTATCTGAAATTTTAAAGGTTGCTCAAGAGCACTTGGTAAGGGATTGCATTAAACTGTTAATCAGGGAAAAAGTATATAATTATAATAAAAAGAAACAGAAGAAGAAGAATAGGAAGAAGAAGAAGAGGAATAACAATAAGAAGAAGAAAAGGAAGAAGAATGGGAAGAAGGAGAGGAATATGAGGAAGAGGAATGAGAAGAAGAAGAGGAATAAGAAGAGGAGGAGGAAGAAGAGGAAGAAGAATAGAAAGAAAATGATGAAGAATAGGAAGAAGAAGTGGAAGAAGAGAAGAAGAAGGAGGAATAAGAAGAAGAAGAATAAGAGGAAGAGATAGAAGAAGAAAGGTAATGTTTATACAAAGAAATGCACCAGATAACAAAAACCACATCACTTCAGGACTTTCAGCAACAGCAACAACTAAAGTGAAAAGTACATGAAATTGGAAGAGAGAATAATGACAATAAAAAAAATGATATCAAATAAAAATAAAAAACATAATCCTTTAGTCAAAACTGAAATTGCAACCTCAACTATCTTGTGCTCATCTATGAAAAAGTATTTTAATTTTGTATTGTTCAAGGAATTATTTTTTTTCTAAAAAATGAATTGAAATGTAAGATTTTTGTTTGTCCAAAATGCCTGTCTTGCTCATATTAGGAACTGTCTGATAGAATTCAACCAGAAAGATGAAAATATTGTCTGATGTTCTTCATTAAACATGGTGCTGTACAATAGGCACTGTGATCAAAAATAAACATTTTTTTCAATGTTTCAAAAATATGACTATAGATAAAACAGTC